CCGTGGGACGCTCCCCATACGCGGTAATGAGCCCGCGCGAGGGATTCAATCGTATAATATATAAAATATTTTATTTCTTTGCATTTAATATTTTCATTAGTTCTGCGCATGCGCTTGATTTGATTGCCACGTTTTTACATCGTCTCTCACAGTTTCTCTTTTTTTAAGTAGAAAAAGTAAACTTTTTTTACTCAAAAACTATTAACGCCGAGATCAACACAGCAGCAACAACAATGGACTAATACCACAGTGAGTAGTGTTGATATTTACTGTGTATTCTATAGACAGTGAAACCAGTGTCCGAGATGATTTATTGCTAGCCTTATCTGTAATAGCTAGGTCTGATACTGCCCACTATCAGTCGTGGCTCTGCCACGGATGAAGACGGACGGAGCTGTGCTCGTCGTTTCTCCGAGTTCAAGGACACGCAGACGAAGTTTTATTTTCCTTATTTTTTTTTTATTTTTTTTTTTTTTTAGATGCGATATTTTCATCAAGTAATGTCCACTAAGAGGTCTTGTTCTGCTGGCTCCACCCTTCGTAACTCACCACCTAAACAAAAAACTCGTCGCAGTAAGCGATCGACACCTCCCGGAACTCCTCCAGCGAAAATGCAAGATTCCACACCACAACCGCAAGCAGGTACCTCTTCACAACAAATGGTCTCTGAATCTCCATTTTTTACCAGCTGAGGGAGGATAGATCATTAAGAGTAGTGATAAGAAACTTACACTCCTCAACCCCAACTGAGGTTATCAAGGATGAGCTAACGGCGTTAGGGTTCAATGTTCGCCAAATAACAAACGTTCTGAAAGAAAATAGAGACCAACCAGGAGTAAAAACTAAAATTCCACTGCCCTTATTTTTTGTGGATCTGGAGCCAACACCAGGGGTGGAAAAAATATACGACATACATCGATTATACTACACCATCGTAAAGGTTGAAAAACCATATCCGAAAAAAGAAATCGTCCAGTGCCACAATTGTCAGGCATACGGTCACACTAAGTCATATTGCCATCACATGCCGCGCTGCGTGAGGTGCGGCGAATCACACAAATCTGGAGAATGTACCAAACCAATAAAAGATCCTGCAGTCTGCGCCCTATGCTTGGCGGGTCATCCGGCCAACTATAAAGGTTGTGAAATCTATAAAAACCTCAAAGCTAGATACAAGCCCCGGAACCACGATGCTACACCTAAACAAAGAAGAGGACCTGCTAAAATCGTGGACTCTAAAGTTTCCTTTGCTAAGTTACTCGGAGGTAGAGACCCGACTAATGAATGTGAGACCCTGCCGGTACAACCAACTCAATCCCTACCTCAATATCATATCTCTCCTAATGTACCTAATCAACAACAACCTCACCAACATCAAATCCAATATGTTCCTCCACCGCCTAATGCTACAGATCTTACTAGTTTATTGACATCCTTCCTTACCGAATTTAAATCCCTTGTCACCCCACTGATATCACTTCTTACAAACCTGGTATCTCATCTCATTCCTCCTTTAAAAAATCCTTAAATGACTTTCATCAAACCCATATCCATTCTCCTATGGAATGCGAATGGTGTTAGAAATCACACAGACGAACTAACAGCCTTACTATTAGACAAGAACATTGATGTAGCCCTAATTACAGAAACTCGACTGACCAAAAAACAGCTTTTGAAAATACCACAATACTTAACGTATCGGACAGACCACCCTGATGGTAGAGCACATGCCGGTACTGCTGTCATCGTACATCAATCCCTCTCTCATCACATACTCCCATTGCCTGATCACGATTTCCTACAATCCACTGCAGTTGTAATCAAAACCTTTTCCTTTCCTGTCACCATTGCATCAGCATATTGCCCTTCTAACCGATCCATATCCAATGTCCATTTCACCTCTCTCCTAAATTCCTTAGGAAACCACTTCAGCCTGGGTGCAGACTTAAACGCCAAGCATCAACAATGGGGTTCAAGAACCACGAATTCTCGTGGTCGGAACATTGCTGTCTGCACTCAATTCCCAATGTTTTACCCTCCTTCCTCCCAATTCACCTACCTACTGGCCCACTGACCCTACCCGTAATCCCGATATCCTCGATTTCTTTATCCACAAAGGTTTAGGTACCCTCCACCATTCCCTTGCTCATCTTGATGAGCTTTCCTCAGACCACAGCCCATTAATATTCCAAGTATCATTAGCTCCTATTCCTAAACCCTCTCCACCATCCTTCATTAGAGGCTCAGTTAACTGGAAACTCTTTCATCAAATCCTCTCCGATAAAATTGACCTCAGAGTAACCCTGAAAACCCCTGAAGACCTGGACAATGCAGTACATTCCTTCACTACCAAAATTCAAGAAGCAGTCTGGACTGCTTCCTCCCCTGATCACTCCTTAAAAATCCTTAAGAAACATAATTTACCTCAACACCTCCTTGACCTAATCCACATAAAACGCCGTGCCAGATTATTATGGCAACGTACCAGACATCCAGCCGACCGCAGCTCCTACAATTATCACTGTAAAAAATTAAAACAAGAATTAGCCACCTTCAGATCCCAATCATTCAATTCCTACCTCACCACACTCTCTGCTCATGATAATTCCCTTTGGAATATCACCAGAAAAATCCTCAAATCCCATCATATTTCCCACCCTCTTCGACGAGGTGATGGCTCCTGGGCAGCATCTGATGAAGATAAAGCCGAGGAGTTTGCCAAACACCTTTCCTATGCTTTCGCTCCTCATCCGGAATCTCATCCTACCCACACAGTAAAATTAGAAGAATTCCTTTCTTCACCTATCCCACTCTCCTTACCACCTAAAGCAGTTAATCCCCCTGAGGTCAAATACCTATTACGCATAATCACTCCTCATAAATCTCCTGGATACGACCTTCTAACCCCGCAGATCCTACGACAACTACCATCCAAAGCCAACATATTTCTAACCTATATATACAATTGTATCCTCCGAACTACCCACTTCCCTCTCCTATGGAAACATTCCACCATCATCCTTTTCCTGAAACCAGGCAAGCCTCCCAATAATACATCATCCTATAGACCAATTAGCCTACTCCCAATTCTTTCAAAAATTTTTGAAAAGATCCTCCTGAAAAGAATCCTACCCATAATAGACTTCCGTAAAATCCCTATCCATCAATTCGGATTCCGTTCCCAACATTCTACCGTCCAACAAGGACTCCGAATTGTTGACCACATATCCTCAGCCCTTGAAAACAAGCAGTTTTGCTCGAGTGCATTTTTGGACATAGCGCAAGCTTTTGACCGGGTGTGGCACGCCGGACTGCTCTTCAAGCTCAAATCCCATCTACCAAAGTCCTTATACCTAATACTCCAATCCTACCTCTCTGACCGCTCCTTTCAAGTTCGCTGTGGTGCAGAATTTTCCGACTGTTATTCAATTGAGGCTGGAGTTCCTCAAGGCAGCGTCTTGGGTCCCATCCTTTACATCATCTATACCGCTGACATTCCCGTCCATCCCGATACACTCCTGGCAACTTTCGCTGATGACACTGCGATCCTATCTTCTAACTCAGATCCTGAAATAGCGTCCAGAAACCTGCAACGGCACCTATCCTTGATTGAACACTGGTGCAAGAAATGGCGCATCAAAGTCAATGAATCCAAATGTAAACATATAACCTTCACCCTTCGTCGTAATTCGTGTCCACCAGTTTACTTTAATACCATCCAGCTTCCCTTCTGCGACACAGTCCGGTACCTTGGTTTTCTCCTAGACAGACGACTAACGTGGAATCCGCATACTAGACTGAAAAGACAGGAACTTAACCGACGTTATGGCCAGCTATATAGACTACTTAATAGAAAATCTAAACTTTCTATTGAAAACAAACTACTGATCTACAAGACAATATTAAAACCCATGTGGACCTACGGACTAGAACTGTGGGGGACAACCAAATTTTCTAACATCAAACGCATTCAATCCTTCCAGTCCAAAGTCCTCCGTACAATAGTCGATGCTCCCTTCTATGTCTCTAATAAAACCCTGCACAATGACCTTAATATTCCATTTATTCTTGATCTTATCCCAGACAAATTCTCCAAATTTCATCAGAACCTTACCCATCACCCTAATCCCGTAGCACAATCCCTATCTAGCACCACTCATCCCTACAATCCTCCTCGCAGGCTGAAACGGCAGTGGCCCCGTGACCTTTTGTAACATGTATATACTGGAGTTTTGGCAATGGCCAGATTCTCCACTCAAGTCATGAGTGTCCGTGGTTGTAGCGCCCTTACTCAATCTCCGCTGGCTTTCAATGCCAGAGAAATGGTTGAGCAAGAAGCGCAGGGATCTCCTGAAGCCTTGCTTTCCCTCCACATGTGGGGGGATAAGTATGGTTCGGAGTTCCTATGCCCGACTGTAAATAGTGTAATAGGTATGCCTGCGTCTAAGATGTTTATTTTCATTACTTTTTTTTTTCCCACTATGATATTTTATTTTGTTCTTTTGTAGCTTTATATTATTTGAAGTTAGCTTATTTTTTTTATTTTTTTTTAAATTTGTAAATATGGTGTGAATGTGCTCTCAGAACTCTATTATAAATGTCCTTTATTGAGACAGATTGTAATATTTATCAATAAAAAAAAAAAATATTTTCATTGACTGAAAACCAGAACCATCTTCCCTTCAATAAATATATTATATGTTTTTGTAAAACTGTTGCCTTTTTTTGGGGGGGGGGAGGGGGAGAAGGAGGTAGGATTAAAGAAGCGATATCAAAATTACGTTTGTCCTTTCCTGGAAAAGAATTCTATACCTGGTAAACCTATGCATTTATCCACAAACACAAAAAATTAACATTATATTGCTCACAAAATTATTGTTGTGCGACACTCCTCAAGATTAAGAATAGCTCTAAATGAGTAATCTTCTATGAAAAAGACACCGTATCCGCAATAGTGTGGGATGTTATAGTATTAATAGATTCAGAGCAGTTCCCAATGTGTCAGTAGCGTTCAGGCGTTAGCTTCTGCTCTACTTCGAAAGTGTAAGTTGAGTCTGTTATTGACCTTAAATATTTTTTTTTTTTTTTTTTTTTTGTGGATTCTATCCTTGAGTTCAATATGAAAGTGATTAAGATTATTCCATGAATGAATAAAAATAATAAATTAACTATTATTCATGGTTAAAAAATATGTATTCGTATATATTCGCGACAAACTTTTCAAAACTTAAAACACTTCTCATTCATAAACAATAGTTTCACCACAAATAATAACCTAACATGGCCACATTTTAATTGTTGTATAAAACCACCGAACAGTTTATTTTCATTATAATAATAAAATACTATTAGATAATGGACCTATTATTTACTATGTAAAATTGAAAATGTATTCAGTTGTTTTTAGTTTCTTCATTATTAACAACTCTAAACAGTTCTGGTACGTGGTACATGGTACACCAACATAACTTTATATAATTCATAAAAATGATGATGTTTTGTTTTATACTTTATTTGCAAATGTTTTAATAAATGTATGAAACAATTATGGTAGATTTAGAATTCGCCCCAAAACGTCAGTTTTTCATTTGATACATATTCAGCAGCATCAATAGATAGATTATGGTAAAAAGAAAACAAAATATATTAGAATTTAAAAAGTTTTTATGTCACAATCTACAATAAATTCTCAACTTGAAGATTTTTTTTTTCTTTTTTACATTTTCCACAATCCGACTGCTCCAACACTTACTAGACAAACGTTCTAAACTTTCAATTAATTAAAAAAGACTCATCTACTTAACCATAATAAGACCTATATGGACATACGGAGTTGAACTTTGGGGCACTACCAAACCATCGAATTCCTATCGTATCCAATCCTTACAATCCAAAATCCTTCGTAAAATCCTTAAGGCCCCACATTTTGTCAGAAACAAAACCATCCATAAAGACCTTAACCATTCATAGGCCGCTGATTAGGCCGAGCCAGATACCTATACTTTCATGACAAACTCCAGTCTCATCCGAATCCACATACTTCCAGCCTTGCTTCTTCCTCGATTCCTGATAATACCCCTATGCGTCTGGAAAGAAGATAGCCTCGTGATCTTCTTATCTAGAATTAAATAGGGAGTGCTACCACTGGGCAGTAGCTCTTCAAGTCTGTTCATTTCATTATTTATAATGTGTGCATTTTTACTAGTTTTATTGTTTATGCAGTTGTAAATTTCAATAAATAACAAAAATAACTTACAGTTATTTACAGTACATCTCCATTGGGGTTACGTACTTCTACGTGTAATATCTTAGGACATAACACCTATTAAAATTAATAATAGATTTATATTTTTAAATTTTAATTTATGTTAGAAGTAAAATTAAATAAGTAAGGTGCTGATTTATTTTTTTTCCCTAAGTTTTTGAAATATCCGTTTTTCAGCGCATTTCTTCCAAGAACTGTTTCTCTGAAGAGTGATAATTCCAAAGAAAGCGTCGAATCTTTTAAATAGCTATAAATAACAAAGAAATTGAAGTTTAGGTTCAGGCGTCATCTGAAATAATATAAGGATTGAAAATAATAGCGGAGATCCTGGTACATTTTCTATGGGGAAACATTTTTCAACTCTTTTTATTTTCGCCGGCAATAATACTCTAGCACACAATTTTATAAAACATAAAATAAACGTAATACTGTCAAGCATTCTATTTTGGCAAACCATGAAACCAAAAGGGGATTACAAGTTCACGTTACTATTTGATTGTTTTGCAAATAACTTATACCTCAGCTCGTCGAGTTCGTGTTGAAGTTTCGAATCGAATCAGGTTCTTTTATACCAGGGGTTTCCAAACGTCTTGAAACGCTTACCGAAAATCTTCCCCTTATACCTGCCACCTTCAAAATAATTATTTATATTCAGTATTGGCGGTTGTTTACAAAATAAAGAATTCCCCCTTTTTTAAATATTGTTAATGTATTTACATAATGACAGTTAGTAATATTTATTTACACCATAAAATGTGTGCATTGGCTTATTAAATTTTTTTTATCAGTATCAAATATGCCGATTCTAAAATACCCTTTCATTCCACATAGAGAACTTGATTTTTTTTCTTTTTGAATAAAGTAAAATATACTTAAGAATAAAAATTTAAATACCCCAGCCGCGTGGCCCAATGTGCCTGGGTTGAATATTCCTGTTCTACACCAACACCACCAGCTTCAACTTCTGAAGAACCTATTCCGCTCAAAACTTTCTTATCGTTTACGAACAAGAACCCTCCTTCTCACAAACTTTCCCTACACAAGATGTAGATAAGCTTTGGCGTAGAAAGAAAAAATTAAGACAAGTGAACTGACAAATACTCAAGCGAAAAGCTGAAAATGGTGGAAGGGAGACACCAATAAAGAAATCGGATAAAAAGAGCAAGATAAGGATCCCTATAACGGCCAAGAAGCTGTTTGAACTTTCATATTCAAAAATAAAATGCATTAAAATATAAAGACTAAAAATAAATTTTAACAGCTTCCAAGTGGTGAATATAATGAAGAAAGTTTATGCATTTATTAAATTGAGCCTTACGGCAAATCTAAGGCGAAAGATGGGCTGCACAAAATGTAAGAAATGACCGTAGAAGACTACATCGAAATATATTTATATGTATATTTTTTATATTATCTATGCTTTGTATTTCATTTTATTACATATACGGTTAACTACATCCATCCCATTTTTAATTTTTTTTTTAATCGCAAAAAAAGGAGGCACTGTTGAAGGAGGAAGGTCTCTTCCAACAAGGAAACTTTTTAACTGCAAAAGATGTCAATTTTACTCCAAATCAAAAGGAATAGGAGTTTGATCAAACCAGAAAAAAAAATGAAGATAATAATTAGTTGATGATGAAAATTACAAGTTTAACTATAGTAACTACGAAATTCGAAGTCGTCGATTGGTGGGAAAATATTCCGGATAAATCTGCCTCCGCCACCTTGCTGAATGAATGCCTTCCCTACACTATGGAAGTATTTCTATTATAGTGCGGTTTTGGAAAACTGAAACTTAATCAATGGTTTTATCAACAATGAAGCATCCTTGAGGTATCGAATAACGTAGCAATATCTATTGACCTTGTTTGAAATGATAATTGCCGTGAAGACAATTATAAAACGAAGAGAAAAAAAAAAAAATCAATTTAGGTTTGTTTCAACCACAGGAGGGGGGAGGGGGAGGCTATGGGGCTGAAGCCCTCCCCCCAAAATGGTAAAATGTGACCATGTTTATGGTGAAAAAATATTAAAATATTATCTCTTAAAGTATTATTGTTCGTTTAATTAAATTGAATAGGACTTAGTTAGTAGTAAAGTAATTATCGTAAATATCCGTTAATGGGGTTCATTCAGTGTTTGAATAAAAAAATGAACTACTCCATTAATAAACATATTCTCTTGGATTAGGTTATAGAAACATTAGGAAGAATTATAAATTGTAGATCAATACAGTGGAGGAACTTCCTTTGCATTGTTAATTCAATTCCTATAAAGATAAACCATAACATTATTTTTGTCACGAATACAATCTATTACAAATTGGACCATATGTTTCCTGTTATCCCCAGTAACTTTAAACATTTTAAAATACTCACGTTTACGTGACACTTGTGTATTTTAACTTATTTTTGACAAAATTCCCACTTAAATATACTATTTAACAAATAATAATAATGAGCATATTATATGTTGGAAATTATTCATCTCAATTTTGGTTATACTGGTTAATTATTTTAATGCTAACCGAAATTTACCTATATTTTTAGTGTTGGAAATAATGTATTTTATTCATTTACATTTCAATGTATCCTCTTTTAGGGGTTTGTCAGGGCGGTTGAAGTCAATACCATTGGCGGGTCTGGTACGAAATAAAAATACGTTCTCTTAGAATAAATTACAAAAATGAAACATTGGTCCAAAAAAATAATTCAGCTATATTTATTTAACACAAATATTTTTCTTCATATACTAATGCTAATAAGTAAGAAATAATAAAAAATAAATAAATAAAGTCAATTATTATTTACGTCTGAGATAATAGATGACAACCCACAAACCGTGAAGTGTCTTGTGTTCAGTACCTGGTATGGAAGTACTGCTTCTTGGTTCAACCATTGACTAGGAGGTGATTTGACCGAGATCGCATTCAACTTTTAGGTTTTTCCTCTTAACGAATTATTAAATTAAGTGTTCCCCACTTGATAGAGGCTGGATGTGCCACAGGAGGATCTGAATAATTACCTTAATACCGGACCCTGACACAGGACGTAGGATCCGTATCATAGTTGCCTTAGCATAGTTGCACAGTGATTTACTCACTGAGCTTCCCTACTCCTAACAGAAATATCAAGAAAACGTTTCATCAAATTCACACAAGTCACATCAAAATTATTATAATAGGACATCCTGATTGAATGGTACCTAGTTGGCACCTGTTACTAATAGTTTCAGTTTCAGACGCGCAGCTGCAACAGTTTGTTGCTGTGATAACAACTGGTGTCAACTTGAAAACCATTTTGTTGATTAACAAATGCGCTACCTGAAAATGACTATGTTTAAATTTGGACAAAGGGATTAAAAAATGTGTAAACTTTAAAGCTTCGAACGGAAAAAGGAGTTAGTATTTAATGATTAAAGGCATTAGTAAGGGTACCTAAGAAAAAGTTAATAGTTTGCCTCGTTCTCAGCATTTTTTACTAAAGCTCCCTCTCAAATATAAGAAAATCTGATCTGAAAAAAGCTTTTTTTTCTGCTTCCTACTTTACTAGATATATATATATATATATATATATATATATATATATATATATATATATATATATATATATATATATATATATATTTATTTATTTATTTATATGGAAATATAATAATCTGTCACGTGGACAATAATTATAGTGATATATGAGCACATTCACACCATATATACAGAAAATATAAAATTAACAAAAGTAAAATAGTAACTAATTAACAATCAAAAACTACTAGATATTTA